TAATATCTTAAAATAATTTTTAATCATAATTATAATATAATTTAATATAATTATAACTATAATACGTCGTAATAATCCTAAATACACTTTTAATTTTTAAGTGATCGTGGCTTCAATTCAAATCTGGAATGTGCTGTACGTACTGGATTTGGCAATATCGGTTGGCAGTGGAATAAAAGATTAATTACCGTTAAAAACGGTCGATAACCAATTATCATAAAACAACGGTCTGGTAAATGGAATTACTGAATTAGTAAGCTAAAAGAATTACCAAAATACTCCGAGTAACCGAACTTTAAGCACGGTACGGTTGCCGAACCGTACTGTGTCCACTCCCTGTATATTTGTTTTTTTATATAGTTGGTTATACTATTGTTCATTATTTATATTTTATAAATTTAAATTTTTTTAAAAATTTAATTTTTTTAATTTTAAAATATTTTTAAATAATAAATTTTAAAAAATTTTAAATTTTTATTTTTTAAAAAATTTTTTACTTATCTTTTATTTTTTTTAAAAATAATTTTTAATTTTTTTAATAAAAATTTAAATTTACGAAAATATAAATACTATCATTTTCTTTTTTTTCTTTGTTCCGTGGGGTTTTTTTATGGACCTATTTTTGGGGCTCATTTTTTTTCTCCTTTTGAGCCCTTTTCAATGGGCTGGGCTGTCATTTGCGGATGGATAGCGGACACCGTTCTTAGTCCGCGCTTATGGACCTCTCTTTTAATCAAAGTCCGCTTCCGGACTTCTTCTTTTTTTTTCATACCTCTCTTTTAGAGTCCGTTTTTGGACTTTCTTTCTGCATTTTTTTAATCCATCCATCAGAGTGTTTGTTTAAAACTCAAACCCCCTTTTTTATCTACATCTCATCTTTTTATCTGTAAATCAATTTAAATTTAAAATACGATTATCAATTTTAAACAAAAATTCAGATTAGCTTTTATCCGAACTCTACCTTCACGCTTCTATAAATTGATTCTTTTGGAAGAGCAAAGGCATAGAATAGCAGCAGCTTCGACCGCAGTAGCAGCTTCGACCGCAGTAGCAGCTTCGACCGCAGTAGCAGCTTCAGGTCTTTTCCTCCTTCACGGTGCTGCAGCAGCAGCACTCATCCACAGGAGCAAAGCTTGAGCCTTTTGCCTCTTTCACAGTGCAGCAGCAACAACACTCATCTATAGGAGCAGAGCTTCAGCCGCAGCACTCATCCACAAGAGCAAAGCTTCAGCCTTTTGCCTCCTTCACGGTGCACCAGCAGCGATCACCATCCAGAGTAGTAGCCATTACCAATCGGAGCAACAGTGTCCTTCAAATTGCAACAGCCTCATGCACAGTTTGATAGTCGACAGTAGCTTCAATCAAGTAACCACCTGTGCCCTTCATCTTCTCAACTTTAAAATTGTCGTTGTTGTCATTATGAAATGTATTTCACATTATCCAAAAATCATGTTATCTTGTATGCGCTTACTGCCTTTTCACGATGCATCATGACACATGACGCGCTGCTATAATTTTTTAGACTCTATGAGTATGGTATTGTGAAAAATATGAATGATCTATCACATAGATATTTCCTTTTTGCAGTGACTACACTTCTTGTTTTAACATTCGGCCGTCTAACTTTACTGCTTTACTGCCTCTGCATACTGTTCTTTCTTGTTTCCAATACCGCCCTTTTGTTTTGATAAGAGAAACATGATTAAACAGAAACTCATCACGGGCTCCCCTTGTTTGCCTTCTTTTAATTTTCAATGCCATGCTGTTTTCTGTTCTATTTTTTTACATGCCAACATTTCCAGCTTTTAATGACACTGTTTTTTTTTTTTTTTTTAATAGTTTTATTGGAGGTATTGTGAGTTTATTTTCATCATGAATTTTTTTCTAAATTTCATTGCCCAAATCCGTGACTTTTGAAGAGTGCCATGCATTGTTTCATTAATTTCATCTTTTTTAAAACTGGCCGAACGTCATTATTCACCTGGCCCCCCCATTCCTGCACAACACAACACCCTTGGACCAAAAACATTTGCATCAGGTCCACACTTAAAAGGCATGAAATTGTCCGTGTCGGGTTTTCACCAATATTGCAATTTTTTTTTTTGGTAAAACTGCAATTTGATCCTTAAACTTGTATTATTTCTTAACTTTGTTTAGACCCATCAAGTCTCAACCCAACATCCTTGCTGTATCCATTGCTTTGTCTTTTCTTTTTTAGAACTTGCTTATACTCTTCTTCATTTATTTGTTACAACTTTTGCACATTTACCTAGTCATGGAAAGTTAAACTACAAGAGTATTTTTTTTTTAGATTGTAATATCATGATTTTGTGAATTGCGACTTTGTGACATTGGGAATTATAATTTTGTGAACACGTACTTGAAATTGTTGTTGATGTTTATCTTTGAACTGCATCCATCTTGTACTATCCAAACAAGCATCTTTTTTTAGAGTGCCTGTTATTATTTAATTCTCCAACTTTAGCATGAGTAATTTGGTCTTATGTGTGGGACTTTTTTTTTAGACATGCCTCCTAGTCAAAGACTTGCTCCCAAGAGATTTCTACAGCTGCCGCTGCCATCTTGAAAAGTGATTGGATTGTTTTGTTTGACATGCAATACCAACTACAATTGTAACATAGTCAATTGGCTAGGGAGCAAGC